GCTCTCTGCAAAATTCAATTAAAGTTAAGCGTTTTACCAAATAGCATGACCTAGATAGATGTATATTGTAATAATGTTTCTTGACTTCATCAACGTTAAAAACGTTACAGATGGAAATAACTTACCACGAAACGACTAGTAGTAACCAAATCAAACGTGAGAGATTCAAGTTCCGGACAACTATTGAGAAATATACTAATTCCCACGAAGTCATTTGCATGCATATTTGTTTTCATCACCAAATGTCGAGTTTTCATCGAATCGTGCAAAGCCATAGGATCGTCACAATCTTGGAGGACCTTCTTCCAATAAATAAAAAGATGTTAATATGACACATTGAAAAAAAACATGTTTGCATATATACACAATTTTTAACGGTACGATAAAATGAAATACTACTAAAGAAAATACTCTTCAAAAATCAAAGAAAAATTATAATGAATGGTATAGTGAACAAGATTTACATTACATGAGACAAGGTGTGAAATTTGAATGTAGGTAATGAATTTTAGATAGCTAAAAGAGTGAAAACTAATTTACCTGAAGGAAAAAGGAGCAGACCGTTAAAGTTCTAACATATAAAAGATTGAAAAAGAGATGAGAAACATCTAAATCGTTCTTTTGAAGATATCTGCATCTTAGTAGACAATCTCTTATAGTCTGTTGGGCTTGACTTAAGTTTCTTTGGATAGGATCTGAGAAATCAAGAACTAAGTTCTTGACTTGTCGGGAGGTGGCGAATTCAGTGAGAGACATTATATCTCCTGCGAAACCCATCGGCTGGGAGAGATGAATCTCAAAATTTTCAATAACTTTACCATTAAATCTTGAGACCCACTCACGCATAACACGTACAAAGAAAACCCTATCGGGATCTACCATTTCTCTATCAAAAACAGATAAATTCACGAAATCAGATTCATTGAAAACGAGGCTTGTCGTTTCACGACAAAGATACCTCCAACGCCTAGAAAGAACACTTGTTCGTACCAAATCTTTGAAAGGCAGCATTGATATTATAAACACTAAAAGAGAATCATGTAAATTTGAAAAGAAATCTGATTTTTTTGCTGAATCCATTATGAAAATGTGGTGATATTCAAAACACGAGATATAGAGAGAAGATGGTGTTTATGAAAAAAAAAACAGTGGCTTAAAAGCTTTAGAGATTCATCTATTTATATGCTTTTGAGAGTCTGCCTTTTTTTCTTTGATGTTAGTTTCACTCATTAAACCGCTTTGACATCTGTTTAGCTTTTCTTATTAACTATTTATCTTTCAGTTTTGAAAAAAAAATATCATAGATTCAGAGTTGTGGTTTAAGAATGCTTAGCATTAGTTTTGTTTAGAAGAAATATTGAAAATACTATTTTTACTAAAATCAAATGAATTTCTACGTAATACGCGCGCTATTTCAAACTTTTGGCCAATACTGATATACGCGCGCTTTTTCAAATTATCTTTTAATTTGAAATATGTTATCAGTTAGTTGAACTTGAATATGGTTATCGATATAGTAAAAAATCTATCTAAAATTATTATATGAAAAGAAAAAGTAAATGACATTTTTTTAGTGCGTAAATGTTTTTTAAAATTAATATATCTGAGCAAATCCATTTAAAAATGAAACTTTGGTTACCTGAAATTGCATGTGAATAAATATTTCTTCCATATTATAATTAAACTTGTTAAGAAATAGTAGACACTCTGAAGGGAGTAATTTATCTATTTATTTTTTGCATATATTTTTCCTTAGAAGATGCTTTTTTTTTTCTTTTCAATTTAACAACTTTTCCTAAAAAAGTCAAATTTAATTTCAATATAAAAAACCAAAATAATACCAAACTTTTTAACTAATGGAAAAATGTATTCAATCATTTTTTACATTTATATTTTTTTATTTTTTCTTATTAAATTCCTCTTTGTGTTATTGGGTAAATTAAAAAGTGATTTTAGTATTTTATCACATATGTCAAGATTTAGGAAAAATATATGATGAAGTAAAATACTTTTAATAGTTTATGATTTATTTCTTAAATTTAACATATTTAAAAAGAAAAAGATTGACATAAGGAGAAACATATACCAAAACACATTTAATTAAATAATACTACAATATACATTATAATCAACATATAGTAAAAACATTTCTTGGAAATATCTTTTTAGAATAAGGAAATTTTATCTATTATTCCACTTTTGAAAAGATATCTTTCCAAATCTACTACATTTTAGGGGATTGAAAAGATTTCTTTATTAGTTGACAAAAAAAAAAGATTTATTTCCAAATATATCACATTTTAGTGGACTAGAAAGATTTATTTCCAAATCTACAAACTTTTTAGTGGACGTTTCCTAAACTACCACAAATCTATGGCATGATAGTATTTTGTTGACAAAACATTTGCTTTTTTTAATTGAGTTTAAGGTCTGTACATGAAAAAACTCCAATCCGGCTCGAAGTCCCACTATTGGGCCAGGCCCACGATATCGACAACAGCTATTAGCCCCAACTTATCATCCATTAAAGATCAATCCAAAAGGTTGCGGCCCAACATTCAGAGTTTTGATGCCCATTGACATGATTATTATCAAAGCCCAACTACCATATGTGCCGAGAACTGTTAATATTAATTAAGACTCGTCCGATGAGCGGGTTTTAATATTTTTTATAAAAACTAAAAATTTTAAAAATTTATATTAATTTTTTATGAATAGAAACTCTATTTAAGAAATAAAAAGATAAATTTTTTATTAGATAGAAAAGTTGTTTATATAAAACTATTTTATATAAGATATATACGTTTAGTTGCCTTATAATTTTTTTTTTAATTTCTTTTTTTATTTAATAAGATATATCTAGTTTTCTTATACAGTAATTATCTTCTTTATATTTTAGAATTGTTTTATATAAGATATATACATAACATTTCATTATAATGTTTTTTAATAAATAATTATTTTTGTTTTACACGTGTTAAAATCTGAGATCGATAGATTTGAGTTCTATTACCATATTAGATCATAGGTATTTAATTCAAAATCAATTTGCTATAAATGAATTTTTTCATATTCTTGATAGACAATTCAAGAATCTTTCCAATTTAAGATATTATTCCGAATATATATACACATATATAAATAATTGGAAGCACATGGTTCTCATATTGGGGCCAATGTATGATTGATTGTTTCAAACTACCTGAGTTTTGGATTCAATACATCAATTTGATTACATTATTAAGACTTTCTAGCTCATCATATTCCACATTTTCAACACTTTATTGCTCTTTTCATATTTATCTCTTTCATATATTTATATGTTAGTTATGTACGTTTGTTTTCGGATGTAACCAGGAGAAACAAATAGATTATTTGAATTTGTAGTATAGTAGTATGTATTAGTATCGTCAGTGTATGACAATTTAAATTTGGATTATATACTACTAACACATTATAATCCAGTTAGTGGAAATACTTGAAATACTTCCATGTAATTATTACCGATTAGTAAAAAGGTCTACGAGGGGAAAAAAAAATTCTAATCGATCATTCCATACTCTTAAAGGTTGTTTAAGTTTTCGTACTATTTTTTTTTTTCATATTACAACTCAACACAAATTACACACTATACCAACTTTGCGGCAAATCATAGAAAAGAACTGGCATATAATTATTTGGCAAGGAATAAAAATGAATGAGGTCCACAACATTCACGGGAATAAAACCACTCTGTGTCAAAGCTTTGTTCACAATCTCTCTCTCTCTCTCTCTCACCTTTCTCACTTTTTCTCTCTAAACTCTAAAGCAACCACATCTCTCTCTTCCTTCTTAATCTTCCTCTCTCTCTCGGCAAGCCATGAGCTCTTCAATTATGAAAACCCTTCAGATTCGTAAACCCACTTCTCTCCCTATCTCCTCCACCACCATAGATGAGCCAGGGCTTCTCCGTCGTCGTCTCTCTTCTCTTTCTCTAAATCTCTCACGTAACCAACCTTCCACCGTCTCAAGATCCAAGTCGGTCTCTGACATGGGAGAGCAAGGAGGGAGCTCTATGAAAGAATGGTGGGAATGGAGTTGGTCATGGATTCTTTTAAAGAAGTTACCAATCTTTTTCACTGATCTTGAGGTTAACAAGAACGAAACCAAATCATCATTGGGGAATCAACAAAGAGGTAGCTTCGTTCACGTCTTCTTTAAGCTCCGATCTGAGATCCGCCGTCTCCTCCGTCCTTCCTCCGATTCTCTTCCACTCTCTTGCAATCACGGACAGAGATGACGTGGCAATCTTCCTCATGAAGCTCTCTCTATCTCTCGTTGGAGGTTTAAGATTTTGTGTGTGTGGCAATTCTTATAAAATCTCTTATTTGATTCTTAATTAAAATGTATAATATGCTTGAACTTATAATTTGCTATACTTTTTTAGAATTCGTCTTTTATTTTTTTTTTGTTGTTAAATGTAATGTAAAATGTATAATTATTTCATTTGTTTTAGAAGTTGTGTGTACTTATTGTCTTTATATTAAGTTAAAACCATTCTTTCATTATTAAATAACGAGCCAAATTCTTAGGATGGTGGTGAGAAAAGATCGAAGAACGTTACACAATACAAGTCAAATTAAAAACATTTGAAGATCTCAACTAAAAGTCAAAATATTAGAGCTGAATAGAGTTTTCCAATTTTGATTTTACTTTCTTTTTGACTTTGCGTGATTAGGCAGAAATAGCTTTTGACGTGTTGTTGCGTCTTAAAAAAAGAAGAGTATATATATCTCCGAAACGTCGGCAACAATCAAGGTGGCCATTAGCTTTTTTTGGTCGGTGGGGACAGGAATCATCGCCTGGGTGGCACATTGTTAAAAACGGCTATAATTCTAAAAATTTGGATTCTTTATCAATCAAGACCATCGTATATTCGTATGGTAACTCAGAAAATAATAATACTTCTAAGTTCTAACCAAATATTTCTAATTAAAAAAAAAAGAATTGTGGTTGGGAAGCCTCAGCTAGCCAGCGTTTTTCACATCAAAGTAATTAAACTCAGACGGTAATTCCATATTTTAGCAATAATCATCATCGGTAATATTCCCAATAATCAAATCGAATTAGTTTAAAAGACCAACATTCAAAAAACAAACAATGTAATCGCCGAAATGGCTCCGTAGATAGTATAGAATCAATATCCACAGGTTCCTATCAGTATGCGAAACACGTACATTTGTCTATGTCCAATGTAGCATCGAGGATCATTGCCCTTAAGCTACCGTCGACGTGGCATCGGACAATTCCATCTTAACTAATAAAAACATCAATAAAACCCTCAGCGAACCCGTGTCAAATCACCCACACAGTGGACACAGAACGGTGGGAAGTACGGTAGATAACCCGGCCGAGCAGCTCGAACCCGACCGTAAAAAGATCGGGTTAGGATCCGAATACGGTAGGGAACACTGCTCGGGGGGGATGGGATATCACCGGATGCATCCTCGTTCAGTTCACTGTTGTGTAAAGTGTCATACGGCACTTCCTATCTTATGGGAATTCTTCTTCATCAGGAATAATGTTCGATACAAAACAATCAACTACTCGTAAATTTGAAGGATATAAAAAACTAAACATGTGGGAAAATCAAGATCAGCAAAGTTAGAGAGGTTTATGAAGATATTAGAAAGAGAAGAGAAGCTGGATTTATTTATATATAGATGGTAGGAGGCGGCATAACTCAAAACCCTAATCTCCGACGTGTGGGTACATGTATTGTTTAGTTTTATTTTATTTTTAATCTTTGGCATGTGAGAGGATATGTCTTATTTTCTTGTAACGACTAATTTAAAACAAACAAAAAAGATAAAAAGATTTAGTTGTCGTTTTAACAATTAAATTTTGTTTCGCAATAGGTCGTTTTGGATTTTTAATGATAATGTTTGGTAAAAATTTTAATTTTATCTTCACTATTTTAAGGTGTTGACCAATAAAAAAATTAGAAAATATATTAAACTAGGGTAAAGTAGAAAACTTTATTGTTTTCTTAATTCTTTTGCAAAAACTTTAAACGATAAATATAATTTAACGGAGGGAGTATTAAACTCGCAGAATAATTACGAAAATCCTTAATTAGGGAAACAAAAAAAAACTTGCAGGATAACAAAATGAATTTTGACCAATCTATTTCACCATTTTTCGAAAAACTAATTAAAAGGTGACAAATAACTCAATGCATGTGGTGTGAAGAGTGTATATACGATGCGTAGATATAAATTAGTGGGGAGCACATGGTTTCCCTGTCATGTTCCAATCTACCACATTGGGACCAATGTATGATTGATTGTTTCGAACAACCTTAAGTTTGGTTCCAAGACATCACTTTGATTACGTGATTGAGACCTCTTAGCGATCATCATATTCCACAATCCACATTTTACACCATTTACATACATAAATAAATATACATGTATTATGTGTATAATACTATAATATATATATACTCATGTGTTCCTATACATGTATATGTTTATGTAATTACTCTATTGGAAGATGTAACTAGAGAAAGTAATTAGTGGACATAAACTTGTAACAACAACAAAAAGGTGGAAGATTGTTACACAACTTATATACTTGGATCTTTCAAAAACCCAAAAAGGGTCAAAAGCTTTCAACGATGGAGATGAAATAAAGCTCACCAAACTTTAAGAATTGTTACAAACAAACAAACAAAACAGAGAGAAAATGGAAATAATCCTCACAGCTACTGATGAAACAGAACGAAACACTTTTTTTTTTGTTCTTCCACTATTTTTTAATCATACAGTAGTTTTTCACAATTTAGACTCAAACCTTCAACGATTAAGCTGGTTCACTGCAGCTATGAATCAGGTTTCTCTTCCTCCTCTGTGATTAAAGATTGCAAATGTTGATTCCATGGAAACATTTGCAGCCTCACCGAATAAACGATTTAAAGATGTTGTGCGTATGTGCCTACACATCTCTCATGCTGATGTTTAGACTATTTTTCATTGTTCTTAATCCGACACCAGCATTTCCCTTTTGCATCATCGCAACAAATTCTTCATAGTCAATCCTTCCATCCTGTAAGAAACAAAAACCAAAACTTTATCAGCAGATACCAATGGTGAAGAGTGGAAGAATCATGTCAAGAGGCAAAGCTTACGTTGTCTTGATCTACTTCTTTGATTACGTCTTCAAGAAAAACATCGGTCATCCCATGTTCAATGCACGATTGTTGCAGCTCATCAATGGTGATGTAACCACTTCCATCTTTGTCAAAGTACTGAAATGCAGAGACAAGATGCTCTTCTCTCTCTAGTTTATTCAGATGGATCGTTGCTGCAATAAACTCGCTGTAATCTATTGTTCCGCTATTGTCCACATCAGCCTAAGATACAACACAGAGTATGGTTATTGTCTGTCTATATAGCGAAATGAAATAGTAAATTTCTTAAAAGGATGCATTTTTACCGCTTCCATAAGATCTCGGATCTCGGTGTCTTTCAAGGTTGAACCATATCTTCTCAAGCCAGCTTTGAGTTCATCAAAAGTGATTGCACCACTGTTATCCGTATCCATTGCCTCAAACATTGCTCTTAAACCTGCAATCTCTTCTTCTGAGAGGCTCTTAGCTATCACCTGTTAATTCCATAACAAGTAATATGAGTAAACATATCTCAAAACGAATGTGATGCAGAGACAATAGAAGATAGAGTATAACTACAAACTGACCTTTAAAGCCATCTTCTTTAATTTATTCATTGCAGAAAATTGTTTGAGGCGAGATAAAACAGCCGGGTCAAGTGCTCTATCGGGTGCAACTCCGTTCTCACAGATCCATGGATGGCCTGAAAAAAAAAAGAAATACAAGAGATATAGTCTAATGTTCTGTGGCTGCCCAAAGCTACCATTTATTTAAGTGTAAATGATTACTACATACGCAAGACTTCATGAGCAGTCAAACGTTCAGAGGGACTGGAGCATAACATCTTCCGGATCAGATCTTTAGCACTGTCGGATATGACAGGCCACGGGTCTGACTCAAAGTCGATATATCCCTTCAACACAGCATCAAATATTCCTTGCTGTGTTTCTGATTCCAAAAACACAAAACCAAACTTCAGGAAATCTATGGCGCTAAAAGAACATTTAAGTGGCTATATGCCATCACACATACCTGCCCAAAAAGGCGGGACACCACTTAGTAAAATGTAGAGTATAACACCAGCAGTCCACACATCAGCTTCTGGACCATAATGTTTAAGAAGAACCTCAGGAGCAACATAGTATGGACTTCCAACAACATCCTTGAATATTTGACCTGATATTAGAGTAAGACTACATATTATGCAAATGTTGTATACGGCAATACCATCATGGTACTTGAATAGATTCAGAACAAAGAGAAGCTCGCAACTATAACAAAACGAGATTCTTCATCTAAGATAAACCCACAGTAGTACTATCAAATTCTTTACAACCAAATCATGATGATTGCCTAAGATGCTTTGACACTAAACTAGATATTACATTACCTGGTTTGAAGAAAACAGAGAGACCAAAATCAATGGCCTTAAGAGAGAAATCATCATCCTTATTAACCAACAAGAAATTCTCCGGCTTTAAGTCTCTATGCATAACACCAAGCGAATGACACGACTCAACAACACCGACAATGATCTTGGTCAACTCGGCAGCTTTCCTCTCGCTATAATGCCCTCTATGAATAATCCTATCAAACAACTCACCACCAGCACAAAGCTCCATCACAATGTGAACATACAAAGGATCCTCATAAGCTCCTTTAATCGTAACTATGTTCTTGTGGCCAGCTAAATGATGCATTATCTGAATCTCCCTCCTAACATCCTCAACATCTTCTTTAGATATCAATTTCCTCTTGGATATAGACTTACAAGCATAGTCATTACCTGTAGCAACCTCAGTACACAAATACGTCGTCCCGAATTGTCCTTGTCCTAACTTACGGCTCAACGTGTAAAGATCACGAATGTTAGGAGTCTTGTGACCAAGAACATAGTAAGCTTGATTGTCAACGTTACGCCGCATAATGGGTTCTCTAACAGGAATCACAAGAGCTGGATTGTTCTTGTTGTTGTTGTTGTCCTGTTTTTGAGCTTCTTTGGAGAAATCTTGTTCTGTGGTCGGAGAATGAACAGAGGAAGAAACAGTGGTGGTGGATTTGGAATTCTCCTCGGGCCTACTATTATTGCCCTCGTAGATTTTGTCCTTAAAAGAACCACGACATGAATTGCCCATGAAACAACTCTCTCTATTTCACAACCTTTTTCACTTTCTTCTTCTCCTCATCCAACGAAACTGTTTGATGAAGAAACATACACAAACAAAAAAAAATCAAGAATCAGAACAGAGAAGCAAAAAAGTATCAAACTTTGGGACGAAATCACAGAACCCACATCAGATCAAGCTTCAAAAAACATAATTGTTTTGTAATTTAATCAAGATTAAAGAAAAAAAAAGACAAGAGCTCCTGAAAAGTCGTAGCTTTAAATGTTCATCGATCATTTTTATTACCAATATTATAGATCGCACAAAAGAATCAAAGACACAACAATAAATGAAGAATCAACTGGTAATAAAAGAAACATGAGAAAACAGAGGATCTAGTACCGGAATATAGCAGAACAGCGAGAAGACGATGCAATGGAATTAGGATTATGATTAATATTTCTGGGAGACGAAGAAAGAAATGGGAAAAAAAACTCAAAAAGGATAATTATTCGTTTTAAGTCAATAACAAAAGAAAAAATGGTTTCTTTCTTTTGTGTTTTGTTTAATAGAAAGATATATCTATGTGTGTGTTGCTGTTTCTGGTTGGGTAATTGGATTCGTTGAATCATTAGAGTGTTAAAAAGATTTATTCTTTTGTGGATTTGTGAAATGATGAAGGAGAGAGGATGGTGCAGAGAAGAAAGGTCTTACGCGGTTTCGTCTCACCTTCTTCATTCGTTAATCCTATACTATTATTTGGGAAGTACATTTATAAGATACCCTTAACTAACCTTCCCTTTTGTAAGAATTTACTTAAGAATG